GGGGGAAAGCCTTTCATGAATGTGATTGGTATAGCTTTGAATATGTCATCAGTTTAGAAATAATATCTTGACATATTGAGTCTTCAACCCATGAGGATGATGACCCAATGAGTTGAGTCATCTTTATTTTTCTTTGGCAGTACCTCAGAATTTGCAGTAAGTACTTCTTATACATTTTTAGTTGGTTCAATCTGAAAATCTTAGACTTTTTTCCAAGACTGATTATTGATATAGTCTTATTTGTCTTCTAGAAGCAGAGGTTTCAGCTGTGGCCAGTGCCATGACCATGGTTCCTAGCGAGGAGCAGGCAGAGATAACCCTGGGAGAGGTCAGTCCACCTACCCTGCTAAACCTTGGCTTCTTCTAGCCAGGAGGCAGCTCATCCTTCTCTGGCCCTAGCCAATACTCTCAGGGGGCTCTTTCGTCTGTCCAGAGCCAGACTAAACCTACAGTCTCCAGGCACCTGTGGTCTCAACTAGTACCAAGGTATCCCCTCCCCATGTTGAGACTAGGTAGGACCAGAGTAGCAGGATCAAATTCCTATGTGTGGTCCAGCTTAGAGAGGACACCAACAACCTCCCTAGCTGAAATGTGTGTGTTCACACAAACTGGAGGAGGAAGATGCAGAGAAAGGTTTAAGCTACCTTTCTTGCTCCAGTCCAAATGGACTGTGGCCTTAGAATCAGGAATGGCATCTTTGAAACTCCAGGGGCTTAGAGGGAGAGTAGGGTAGTGGGGACTTGTGCATCCTAGACACAAGATAGAAAATGCAGCCAGCTCCTACCAAGCTCTTCTGGCATCTAAAGCTGGTAAAAAGAGCCTGGCCTCTGTGGTGGGGTAAGGGTCTGTGGACTGCTTGAATGAGCCCTCTAAGTCTCACTCTGTTGGGACTCCATAGCAGTAAGCATTCAAGAGCATGTCAGCCTTAGAACTGATACCTGTATGTGACCAAATGGACATCCCAAGGACATGGTCCTACTACCCACCCATCCTTGCAGTGGTAGCAAGAATAAGGGCTAGTGGGAAATTCCCTAAGAAAAACCATGATGCCTGTGTTCTTATCCCATGGCCCTCTTCTTCTTGCACAGGTAACAGAGGGAGAAATTGGCCCCTTCAGTTCCATCAAAGTACCTATTCTCTTCAACCCAGTTATCCCAGGAGAAGTCCAGACTAAGTTCAAGGTTATGTTTAAAAATTCACAGTGTCCAACGGTGAGTATCCCAGCTGCCCTAGGTGCCAGGAGGTTTCCATTTGCTCATGCTTAAACCATTAGTGGGTAGCACAAATGGTTGACACCTTAGCTAATAAACACACGTGCACAAGAGTCTTCAGGTGCTCCTGGACAAACTGCTGTTTTTTCTTCTCTCTCCCCAACCCCGGCCTTTTTTATAGTTTTGGAGATTAAACTTAGAACCTTGAGCAAGCAGTCTACCTTTGTTTTTTGAGACTCCTAGAACTTGCCTTCTTTGTCATCTTGTGTCTGTCCTCCAGATCTAAGCTCTCCATCAGGTCCTAGTCCCTGCTTTAATAGCTGCTAATAATAGGTGCACTGCCACCTTAGCCACTCAGCCAGCCTGTGCAGGCTGAGACAATGTTGTGCTAACCTGAATGGCTCCTCACATTCTAAGCATTGTCACTGACCTCCTGCCTCCTCCACAGAATAATGTTGCTGGAATATTTTCTAATTTTGTCTCTGATTCAGAAATAGATTGCATTTTTGACAATACTGTGGCCTCAGACTTGATAATTGGAACATTTTAAATGGTACAAGTCCATTAGCCTATGGAAAAGGAAACCTCCTACCAGGCCAACTCACCCTATTGACTGTCTAGAGGGCATAGTCCTCTATCCCAGGCTGAGTTCTTTAGTCCATGTCGATTTTCAGAGGTCTCCACTCAACCCATAGCACCAGAACAGTACCTACCACCCAGTAGGCTTTACCCTTATACCAGGCTTCCTTTAGTTCCAAGTCTTGACATCCCTCCAGGCCCCTACCTACTCACCTTACCCAACCAATCAGACCTGAGGAGTCAGAGTGAGGAGAACCAGCAGATGGGGACAAAGATATAAGTTTACCACCCCTTTCCCAGATCCCTGCAAAACTACTGAATTCTGTAGCTTCCAGTTTGTGTTCTCTGTGGCAGTTTTACATAATGCATAAAACTTTTCTGTATAATGCATTATTGTGCAATCAAGAATTTTTAGTTGTTTTGGTTGTGCTAGGAATCAAACCCAGGGCTTTGAACATGCTAGGCAAACACTGGTGAGCTGCATCACTGACCCAAGTCTTCAAGCAATTAAAAATCTTGATAACTTTAAAATTGGATGAGAAATACATGGCCATTTAGTATTGAGTTACATATTTTATGTTTATAATTGTTGATAATAAAAGACACTTTAGCCGGGCAGTGGTAGCGCACGCCTTTAATCCCAGCACTCGGGAGGCAGAGGCAGGCGGATCTCTGTGAGTTAGAGGCCAGCCTGGGCTACCAAGTTAGTTCCAGGAAAGGCGCAAAGCTACACAGAGAAACCCTGTCTCTAAAAACCAAAAAAAAAAAAAAAAGACACTTTAAGCTGGACAGTGGTGGTGCATGCCTTTAATCCCAGCACTCTGAAGGCAGAGGCAGGCAGATCTCTGAGTTCAAGGCCAGCCTGGTCTACAGAGTGAGTTCTAGGACAGCCAGGACTACACAGAGAAACCCTGTCTCAAAAGGAGACAGCTGTAATTTCATTTGGAATGAGTGAGTTTGTTAAGTGTAGGTGTAAGGGTCTTATTAAATAAGAAACACAGAGCCAAATGCAGAGTTAAAAGCCCAAGAGGTCAGAGCAGTAGCTGAGAGCTGAAACTTAAAAACCTTTCTTACCCTTCCTGCCACTGTAGTCCTTCCCCTCAGAAAGAGACCTACTTCCTGTGTGTCTGTCTTTTTATTGACTTTCTATTCTGCCTTCTCATTGGTTGTAAACACAACCACGTGACCACCTCCTCACTGCCTGTCTATACAGACCTCCAGGTCTTCTATGGTTGGTATTGAGATTAAAGGCGGATGTTTCCATGCTGGCTGTATCCTTGAACACACAGAGATCTGCCTGTCATGTGATCAGGATTAAAGGTGTGCGCCACCACCGCCGGGCTTCTGCTATGGCTTGCTATTAGCTCTGACCCCCGGGTAACTTTATTTATTAACATACAAATAAAATCACATTTCAGTACAAATGAAACATCACCATAGCTAAGTGTGTAGCAAGCAGAAGTAAAAGAATAAAACAGCAAGCAACAGAAAGATAGTAGACATCAAATCAGACACTTAGACTGTCCAGCAGAAACTGACGGGGAACACTGGGAACCAAAAGCTCCATCTGGAGTCACTGATAAACAAAGATGATCCCAGGAAGAATGTCTTCTCCTGGGTGACACTTTGAATTAGTCATTTTCCCACCACAGACATTTTTGTACCACAGGGTATCTGAGTCTTTAACTTTGGGAAGATGAGTGGGAATAATTTGCCTCCCAGATGTTTGCGCTCAGATGCTGTGGTCTCCTCCTGTTGTCAATGGTATTTTCTCCACTGGACTGCTTTTTCCGTTCTCCATTCTCCTTCTCATGGGGATGGGGTGGGGAGCAGCCCACCCGTGAAGAAGGGGTCTTACAGGAGTCTGTAAGACAAACATGCTTGGATCTGAAGTGATTGATAGGCCAACCCACATCCAGAGCCATCTTCTCAGTCTATTTTTACTGATCAGCTTTGGACTTGATGTTACCTTTCTGCTGTTATTTGTTCTTTTACTTGGAGCCTCACCAAAGTGACACTCTGCTCCTCCCCACCCCCAAGACTCTATCTGTGGAAACTCCTGATGACTGATTCAACAGATCTCCCCAGTTGATTTCTGCTAGATAATTTTTTTTTTCTTTTTTGAGACGGGATCTCTATAGCCCTGGTTGTTTTGGATCTCAACCAGAATGCCCTCAAATTCACAGAGATCTGCTTGCCTCTGCCTCTGCCTCCCAAGTGATTAAAGATGTGCACCACTACACTCTAAATCTGCTGGATATTTTGAGCACCAAATTTGGTAATGTCTTACTACCAATCTATCTATAGATCAATCTGCTTTTTACCTCAGCTTACTATACACTTAATAAACTCATTCAAAACCCAAAGTATGACTATTATAATTCATTCTCTCGATCAGAATAGGATAATCACATGAAAAATATCACAAGATTCTTCAACACATGTCTTGATTATTAACCTCATACTTGTAATGCAGTAAGTTAAAAAAAAAATCAAACCATGAAACCTTTTGCTAAGTATTGTGTTAACACTCACTGATATCTCCTATGTTGCAAAGTAAACACATGTTGAGTTTACATGTTCCACTTCAGTTATATTTCAGAGCCACTGGTATTGCCGTAGATGTGCCAGTTTGGGTACCAAGGGCCATTGTGGACCTGAAGATCTGCATGTATGACCGACTCTACCAGGACTCTATCACTGTCCACACCAGGTGAGCCTATGGTGGGCAGCAAGAGTGTCATGTCTGGAGCTGGATACACACTGGCTCTGAATTGTCACCTTAGGTAACAGAGGAGTGGGCAGTTAATTAGGCTATGGACCTTGAAGAAAGTGATCCTGAATATCCAGGATGTCCCAGGGTTGTGGAGGCATTGTAGAGGAATCCGGGAGAGTCAAGGACAGAGACAGAACTGAAGACAGGAAGGGACCACAACTATGGAAAGCCAGACACCTAAAAGTGCAAGAAATGGATTTTCCCCTGCAGTCTTCACAAGGAACCAGCCCTGCCTACAACTTAACCTTCAGTCTAGTTAGTCCCACTTTGGCCTTATGTCTTCCATGATGCTCAGAGAGTTACTTTATAATGTGTTAGGTCTGAGTTTGTGGAAAGTATTTCAGCAGCCATAACACACTTGCTGTATGCCTGGGTTACTAAGCAAGGGTCTAAGTGCCCTCAAGAATATAGAACATAGCAGCAACATGGAGAATAGACAAAGTCCAACAAAAGAAGTGTATTTATTTGTATTGTTTTACAAAGACATCAGATTTTTTATTAAAAGTATTTTCCTTGAAGTACAACCTGATATAGGAGCATCCAGGTTTCATGACTTCACCAGCTTTGAACCACTAGTCCCCAGACCAGAAAAGCAGGTGCTGTTTGTATCAAACCCCTGTCCCTACCTTGTCACACATGACCTGGAAGAACAATACTCCCATGGCATGGTTTCCACCAGGCTTTGTCTTGCTCCATGAAGGTGCAGTTAGTAGATGTCCCCAAACCCTCCCTGGGAACCAAAGAGCTATAAGAGCACTGTCAAAAGTCAGGGGGAGGGCTGGAGAGATGGCTCAGAGGTTAGGAGCACTGACTGCTCTTCCAGAGGTCCTGAGTTCAATTCCCAGCAACCACATGGTGGCTCACAATAATCTGTACCAAGATCTGGTGCCCTCTTCCAGCCTGCAGTCATACATGCTGTATACATAATAAATAAATAAAATCTTAAAAAAAATTGTTTATAAAAAATAAAAAATAGCCGGGCGGTGGTGGCGCACGCCTTTAATCCCAGCACTCGGGAGGCAGAGCCAGGCGGATCGCTGTGAGTTCGAGGCCAGCCTGGGCTACCAAGTGAGCTCCAGGAAAGGCGCAAAACTACGCAGAGAAACCCTGTCTCGAAAAACCAAAAAAAAAAAAATAAAAAATAATAATAATAATAATAATAATAATAAAAAATAAAAAAAGTCAGGGGGAAACCTGGTGAATGAAGGAATGTGGGGCTTAGAAGAAGGGTTTGTTGTACTTATTTGGGAGAATGGGTTGAACAGAGTTTGGGGTAGGTATTAAGTGCTTCCTGGCCATGTAGGAAAGGAATTTTATCATTCTTACCCAAAGTACCCAGCTGTCAGTATAAATGTGTTCAGTAATCTTTAAACCTAGTGTCATGTGTAACTTTGTGTGGGTTTACCTGCACGAATGTAGAAAGGTGTTGATTCATGAAGACCATTTGTTGTGTGTGCCCAAGAACCAATGTTGGTCACTGTTTACAAACAGTGGAGCTGACTAACACCCCAAGTGACTGCTTTCCATAATATTTTAGGTCTCCAGCAGCAGAAGCTCAGGGCCCTGGTCAGCTGTAGTGTTGGATACACACTGTAGGGGCTCAGAGGCAGGCCAGAGGTCACCACAACTCTGGTAACCGTCTGGGCTCTGGTAATCATCCACAGAGCAGGAGAAAGGAGAGAGGCTTTTTTTTCCCTCTGTGTCCACTTGGTTCTTCCTTATGGATGCTCCCAGAGGTATCTATGCACTTGTGGGCCCTCCCTGAAGATCTGGCTACTTCCCTCAGTGTCCCTCATAACATCAGGGTCCATGGCATGACTTTATTGTTCCATCTCTGGATCGATATGGACTCAGCTCTCAGGACCATATTTGAGCAGAGGTCTAGAAGACCATGGGCTGCAAAGCATAGTCAGCCACAGGACATACAAGGATAATTCTAGAAGGCTCTTGAAGGTTCTAGGACTATTGCCAAGTATATAAACTTCCTGTAAAGAGTCCTGGGTAGGAAGAAGCAGGAACCCCTAGGGAGAAGGCATCCTTCACAAGCCTTCCAGGCCCTGCACTAAGTATCAGCCTGCAATACTTCTTCCCATTAAGCATTCTAGTCTCTGAGAACTGATTTGGGCATGTTTCAACACAAATTTTTATTTATTTTAAACTTTTTTTTCAAAAGCTGGGTGTATTGGCATATGGCTATAAACTCAGCACTCAGGAGGCTGAAGCAGGACAGCTGAGTTATATAGTTCAGCCTGGGCTATATAGTGAGACCCTGTCTTAAAAAAAAAAATCACGGTCAGCAAAATGACTCATCAGAAAGGCACGCACTGTTAAAGCCTGAAACCTGAGTTCAATCCCCAGAACCCACAAAAACACAGGCAAGAAACAATTCTGCAAAGTTCTCCTCTAGTCTCCACACATGCAAAATGCTCCTGTGCATGTTTGAGTGTGCACATGCACTTGGGTGCTCACTCATGCATGCACACACATATGTGTGAACACACACACCATGCATAAATACACAACAATAATAATTTTTATTTTAAATTTTTTTTTATTTCAGCCAGGTATAGTGGCAAGTGCCTTTAAAATCCCAGCACCTTGGAGTCAGAGGTAGGAGGATCTCTGTGAGTTTGAGGCCAGCCTGGTCTATATACCAAGTTCCAGGACAGCCAGGACTATGTAGAGAGACTGTCTCAATAAATATACATTATATTTCATTTTATTTTATGTGTTACTTCTTTGCCTGGTTATATGTATGTGTACCACATGTATGCTTGGTGCCCACAGAGGTCAAAAGAGGGTATCAGATCACCTGGAACCAGAGTTACGGATGGTGGTAAGACACCGTTGAGCGCTGGATCCTCTGCAAAAGCAACAAGTGCTCTTAACCACAGCCATCTTTCCAGCCCCCAATAATAATTTTTTAAAAAATTTAATCAATTTCATTTCAGAACAAAACATGCCTTAAAAAACAGCATTGAAGCTCCTTTCTAACCATCAGTGTGCTATGCTTGGCTCATAGTAACATGTCTGCTGCATATTGCACACTGGCTCTATCATTAGAAATACCTTAATCAGTCAAAGGATTAAGCATGCAAAGCCACCTGTGACCTCTTGCAGATCAAAAGCAGCCCTGCGCCTGAAGTTTGAAGTCTGCAAGGAGCTGAGAGGCCACATAGAGCTTCTGCCAGAAACTGGCTACATCCAGGCCCAGTCCTCCTATTCAGTACAGCTCAAGTTCCTGCCTCGGTGAGAACTGGGAAAGGCCTGGAGCATGATGGGAGGGGGTGGGATCCATGGGTGCCTTGTGCCGATCACTCTGCTTGACACACACATCCAGGATGTACCATCTGCCAAGGTCAGAACACACTGATCTCCCAGCGCGGACCCCACCATCACTTCTGCTCAGACACAGTGAGCACCTTGCTCTTGTGAGACCTCTTCCTGTCTCTCCCTGCGGTTTGGTGTCAGCTTGTAGCATACACTTGAAGCTTGTTTCTTTACCTTCATCCCAAAGCTCTGTAAGGTGTGCCTGTCACTCAGTTCTCCCTGCATCCTCCCTGTTCCAAAGCCCTTCTGTTCTTGCCCCTGGGGTACCTGCACTGCCAGTGTTGCAGACTGTTTTGGTATGTGGTATGTCCTTTGGCTTCTGCCTTTCCTAGGATGGACTTTGAATAATTCACTTCAGCTTTTCTGGTGCTTTGGCAACCAAAAGTACTGATTTTCACTTCAGCAGCTCTGTTTCCCTTAGTGACCCTTGGTTCCTGCTACTGAACCTATTTTCCAAGCTAAGATCTAGACCCTGGGCTGTCAACAGAGTTTGGACCACAGAAGTAGGTGTAGCAGGCTCGGGAGTGAGGTGGCTATGGATCTGCCTCCAGGCCTTGGCACTCAGGGTATCAAAGAGGCGCTGAAGCTGGTTTTTAAGATCTGACCTGCTTCATGGTAAAGGGGAACTCTTTTCTTTGTACTTTTTAAAAATTATTATTATTATTATTATTATTATTATTATTATTATTATTATTTTCGAGACAGGGTTTCTCTGTGTAGCTTTGCACCTTTCCCGGAACTCACTCTGTAGTCCAGGCTGGCCTTGAACTCACAGAGATCCAGGGGTTAAAGGCATCCGCCACCACCACTCAGCTTCTTTGTACTTTTTAAAAGTCATGCCATGTAGCCTAGCCTGGCCTACCTTATGATTTTCTGGCCTATTACAGGTGTATAGCACCCAACCCAACAAAAGTAAACTTTTTTTCTTTTTCAGTACTGGGGAATCACTCTACCACTGAGCAACCTGCTTTTAGACTGATTTTTCAAAAACTTTTAGGATTCCTTCAAGTGATAGACTCCTTATCATTTTATTGATTTTGTCTTTAAAATTATTATTTTAGACTGTTGCTGAAAGTTTTTCTGTGTCCAGCCTGATCTGCAGCTGCCCAGACCCAAGTAAACACACAGAGGCTTATATTAATTAAAAACCGCTTAGCCATTAGCTCAGGCTTACCACTGACTAGCTCTTACACTTAAACACAGCCCATTTCTGTTAATCTATATGTCGCCATGTGTTCCACGTCGTTCCGTGGCTTTACCTGTGTGCCATTACATGCTGCTCCCTGGATGGTGGCATGGCATCTCCTGACTCAACCTTCCTCTTCCCAGAATTCTCCTTGTCTGCTTATCCTGCCTATACTTCCTGCCTGGCTACTGGCCAATCAGCGTTTAATTAAAACAGTGCACAAAAGCATTAGCCCACAGCACTGGACCAAAGAAATGGCTCAGCAGGTAAAGGCATTTGCCACCAAGCCTGATAACCTGAGCTCACTTACCAGAACCCACATGGTAGGAGAGAACAAACACCTGCAAGTTATCCTCTGACCCTCATGTGTGAACAGTGGTATGTGTATTCCTCAAAACAAACACATTTTTAATTTTATTGTAGAATTACAATTGCATACATTCATGAGATAAAATGTGATGTCTTCACACACACACACACACACACACACACACACACCAAAATACACACACATATATATATATATATATATATATATATATATATATATATATATATATATCATAAGTAAACCAAGGTTTTTGCTTTTGGTTTTTAGTTTTTTGAGCTAAAGTGCTGCGAGTGAAAGTGTGCACCACCACATCTGACTAAGCCAAGCTTATTAACATTCTCTCTTTAATTTTTTTTATTGAAAATATACTCTTGCCGGGCGGTGGTGGCGCACGCCTTTAATCCCAGCACTTGGGAGGAAGAGCCAGGCGGATCTCTGTGAGTTCGAGGCCAGCCTGGGCTACCAAGTGAGCTCCAGGAAAGGCGCAAAGCTATGCAGAGAAACCCTGTCTCGAAAAACCAAAAAAAAAAAAAAAAAGAAAAAGAAAAAGAAAATATACTCTTTCCTACCAGGCAGCAGTGGCACACACCTTTTTTTTTGTTTGTTTCTTTTGTTTTGTTTTGTTTTTTTGAGACAGGGTTTCTCTGCGTAGCTTTGCGCCTTTCCTGGAGCTCACTTGGTAGCCCAGGCTGGCCTTGAACTCACAGAGATCCGCCTGGCTCTGCCACCAATGCCCGGCGGCACACACCTTTAATTTCAGCACTTGGGAGGCAGAGCAAGGCGGATCTCTGTGAGTTCAAGGCCAGCCTGGTCTACAGAGTGAGATCCAGGACAGGCACCAAAACTACACAGAGAAACCCTGTCTTGAAAACAACAACAACAACAACAAAAAAAAAGACAGAAAAAAAGAAAGAAAATATACTCTTCTCTCATACAATACATCCCAACCACAGTTTCCCCTCCCTCCACCGCCCCCCCAGCTCCCTCCACCTCTCCCCTCCCCCAGATCCACTTCCCACCCTTTGCTTAAAATCTTTGCTTTTAGAAAAGACCAAGCCTATAAAAAACAACAGCCAAACAAGACAAAACAAGATATAATAAGACAAGGCAAAAGCCCTCATATGGAGACTGGATAAGGCAACCCAATAGGAGGAAAAGAGTCCCAAGAGGAGGCAAAAGAGTCAGAGATACACCAGCTCCCACTGTTGGGAGTCCCACAAAAACACCAAACTATCACACCACAACATATATATACACGGGATCTGGCACAACCCATGCAGGTCCCGTGCTTGCTGGCTCCAGTCTCTGTGAGCCCTGCTTAGTTGATTGCTTAGTTGATTGAGAGGACCATTTAATTGCAAGACATTTTAAAGTTAGTATACAAAATGATGTGGTTCCTTATGTTATATTCATACATATGTCATTATATCATGTTCTTATTCATCTTACCCTTCAATTTTAGAACAGTTTTATTGTACAAAGTATAAAGAAGAAAAATATATTCAAGTGGATCCTTCCTCTTACAGACACTCCCTCCCAGAAGATGCAGGAAAGTATTTTGACCAGGACAGTCGTGTTCTGGAGGCTCCGATGACAATCTGGGTGGCTGACCAGGTCTGTACAGGACACTTTCTGGGAATGTTAAGTACTGCTTGGGAACAGGTGGCTGCTGTGGGAGGTCAAACCCTGTGTCTCCAATGACAATGCCTAAAGAGGTAGAACCTTGATTTCAAAACCCATCCTCACTTCCCAGCCGGTGATATCCAGGAATCTGACAGGCAGCTTTGCCTCCTATCTATATAACCCCTGCATAGTATGAAATAACAGAAAAAGGCTTCTTACCTGAGTAGGCTGGCTCAGATACCTCACCCACATATGCCTATGGGGCTGGAGAGATGGCTCAGGTGTTAAAAGCACTGTTGCTCTTCCAGAGGACCCAGGTTCAATTCCCTGTACCCACTGTCTGTATGTAACTCCTGTTCCAGGGGATTTGACACCATCACACAGACATACATGTAGGCAAAACACAAAAGTACATAAAATACAAATAAATAAATTATTTTTAAAAAAGAAATATGCCTATACAATTGAACACAGATACACTGATGAATGCACCACATACACACATAGGTATGCATGTTATGATCTCATCAACATGGGTCCACATATGTATGTGCTTACAAACAATATATCCACACATAGTCACATGCCACATTGCCACACCTGGTTGGTGCTTTAGACTACTGCTTGCACTCCTTCTCTATTCACCATGGAATTCTGGCTCAGACACTCAGTTGTCCACTAGGAAATACTGAGGAATGGTCTGGCTGAGAAACTCATGTTCTGGAAATAGTATGCTGTTGGCCACACGGCAGCAGAACTGCCTTTATTATTTGGGGCTTTTGCATAAATCTTCCAGTGGCTGGGAATGTTCTCTGCCGTTTGCACCTTAGATCAAACCAGTGGGCTTCACTGTCCAAGCCATCGTCACCACCTCAGACTTGGAAATCAGCCCCTTAGAGATAAACTTTGGCTACTGTACCATCTATGAGGCTATCAGGACAGAAATCAGCCTCAGCAACCTCTCACTGTTGCCCCAGGAGTTTGGGTTCGTTGGACTTCCAAAGGTACCTGCTGTGGTCATCCCGGGGGATGTGGAGCAGGACATAACAGCTGCTCTCCAGGCCCAGGTGTCAGCAACTCTGCTTCCCTGTAAAACCTCCCAGTTGAACCTTTCCTGGGGGCTCCTGGGCCTCTCATGTTTCTGACTTTAAGGTACCCAAAAAGCTTCAGACTCTCCCTGCCCACCTTCTAAGACTTTCTCTGGCCAAGAGGATGCCCAGGCCTGACTGCCATAAGCCCTTCCTAGGCTGTCCCTATCCACCCACACACTTGGTAAGGTTGAGCACTCACACACATACACATCTTTCATACTCTCACACCCTCTGCGTGTCCTCCTAAAGTGGCATGTTCACATATCACTTCCCCATACAGGGTACACAGTTTTCTACCAGCTTCTCTACAGAGCATGGTTTTCACTTTGACTCTGTTCCCATTCCTCAGTATGTGGACATCCAGCCCAATGATGGGTTTGGGACAATCTTGCCACTGGAAACTCTGCAACTTGATGTGATTTTCCAACCCATTAAGGCCAAGGAATACAGATTTGAGCTGGTCTGCAAATCCGAAATAAACCGGTAAGCCTGCTAGGCAGAGGAGACGTGTGACCATTGTGTCCTTTCCTCAAATTCCACCAGGCTGACCTCGGGCATGGGGTAGACAGCACTGCTGACCAATAGGAGCCCAAGACCCAGGGATAGATAGATTTTAGGTCCATATGACCTTTTACTTTGGACTAGTTTACCCTTGTATGTGAAGAGATAAGGAAATAATGAGTCAATGAATATGAGTATTGTAAACATGAGCATCTGTGTGCATGTCAGTACATTGTGAAAAGTATCTTGGTATAAGTATTCATACATTATTCACTCTCAAGGCTTGAAATATGTCATTCCTTGCTTTCCTGGGTTTCTGTTGGGAGGTCTAGTGCTATTCCAATGTATTTACCTTTGCAAGTTGGTATCTTGGGCATACTCAGTTGGTAGAATGCTTGCTGCACATGCTTGAAGCCCTGAATTTGATCCTCAGCACCACATGAAGCAGTGCTGTAAGCACTTATAATACCAGCACGTGGACATCAGAGGCAAGAGAGTCAGAGTGGAGGTTATCTTTGGCCAAGTAATGTGGTTGAGGCCAACTTGGGCTATATAAAACCTGTCCCAGAAACTCAAAACAAAACAAAACAAAACCTCTTATTTTAATATTTAAAAGGAGTTAGAGAGATGGCTTAGCAATTAAAGGCACTTACTGTTCTTTCAGAGGACATCAGTTCAGTTCTCAGCATCCACATGGTGGCTCACAACCATCTGTAACTTCAGTTCCAGGCAATCATGTCTTCTCTGACCTTCTCGGTCTCCTGCGCACACACAGTACACATAAAATTATACAATTGAGCATGTGTGCATGCATACAAGTGTATACACACACACACACACACACAC